TCTCATTAATATTATTAATTAATAATTTTTAAAATTACAAATATATTTAAGACAATTTACTGAAATATGATTTTATTGTTTTTGTTTTTTGTAAAAATTTCAACCTAATTAAAGCTCATCTCTAACTTTTCTTATTGCATCTGCAAGTCCTGATATTATTTTTTCGACCTGCACCATTAAAATGAAAAAAGTTCAAATGTGATAAGTGATTCCTTACGCGTAAATGATTCCAATGGTATTGTATTATCTTCAGCTTCATCATCAACATTGTTTTTTCCGTTGATATCTACAGTTTCTTCTAAACTCTCCATCTTTGAACATGAATCTGATCAAAACACTCTTTTAATTAATAAAATTTTATGATCTCACATATATTAATTTAGCTAAATTTTATTGTATTATAATATGCATAATTTTTATGATACACGTCTCTTTCTTTTTTTCTCCCAACTAGACCATCTTATTAAGAAACCACTATTTGCCTAAGGAAAAAGCATAAATTCACCCTTGAATTTGTCTCTAAAAGTCAGTTGCACACTTAAACTATCATGACGACCTATTACAGATTTACTATTTAAAAATATTTTTTTTATTGGAGGACTTCAAAAAAAGAAGAGTTTAATTATTGGAGGACTTCAAAAAAAAATTTAATAATCGGAGGAGTTCAAAAAATAAATTAATGGATAGTTTAGATAATTTTATATATTATTATTGATTATGACAAAAGATTAGGCTTAGGAACTTTACAATTTATTTATTTTTAATAATCGGACCAAAGAAATAGTATACTTTTAAAAAACAATCAATTTCTATCATTTATGAAATTATTTCAAAATTATAAATTAAATTTATTAACAATACAAATAATTGGATTAAACAAAAACTATTTTTTTTCAAAAAATAATAATCAGACCAATTTATTTTATTTTTTTAAAAGAGGCACAAGGCGCTGAAACCAATGCGCCTTATAAGGCGCATGATGACTGAACCTTACAAGGCTAAAAGGCGGCCGCGCCTTACCAGTTGCATGGGGTTTCGCGCCTTGCGGCGGCTGCCCTAATTTAAACAACGTCAAAGAAAGTTTCCCTTTTGGTTTGATAATTAATTTTGTTGCCCTTTTGAAATTTTCGAAAAAATTTCTTACCCTTTTGGCTCCGGACTCGTAAAAAAACTAACGTTATGCAGTTCGGACCTAATTTCTATTTATTTGTTCATTTTAATAAAAATAAAAGTAAATTTATTTAACTTTTGTAACGATCTGCACCGTCGTATTTAGGAAAGGAAAAACGTCGAGAGAACTGGGCCCATCATCCCTCTAGAGCGGGACATATATTGCTAGGACGGCGGCGCTCCAGCGGGACAGGAGCGCCAGAGCAGGATGGTCGGGGTAGAACGTAAATGACGTGAAACCTTATTTCTTTTTTTCCCAAAACACCAAAAAGAGGTGAGGATCACCCCAGAAACCCTCAAAAGGCTGCTCTAGGCTTGGGAAAGAAAGAGGAAGAGATTTTTAGCGCAAGGATGACGATAGCTTGCGAATTCTCGGTCAAATCAACCGTCTCGAGGTCCGAAAACCAGGATTGGAGCTAAAATCCCTCTGCAACTACTTGGCGCCCAGGTAAGTTAGGTTTATTAATTGAGTAGTTTTAAATTCGTGTTCACTGCGTAGTATATTGTTAATTGGCGGTAGAATTCATGCGTAGGCCTTCGTGCATCGAAAAAGGAATGGTTGTATCGATATTCCTAATGGATACGTAAGATGTGTACCGTAGTGGGAATCCCCATTTTGTGAACTAGGGGTAGGTGATGGTTTGATTTCCTGTTTGTGTGATATATGTCAGTAGTTGCTTCGTTGTATACATGCATGTATGAGAACAAGGAATGTAAACCAAATCTAATGCAAATGAGTATATATGAATTATTACATCCCATGAACCCATTACTTGATTGTATGACTATGAATATTGTTAATTATAGATGTGATTGTGATAGTGGTTGTGCTGACTGGATCGACTATCACGTTCTAACACATATATTGAATCGAGTGTCACGTTTCGACACATACATTAGATCAGGTGTCACATTCCAACACATATATTGGATCGAATGTCACGTTCTGACACATATATATTGGATCGAGTGTCACGTTCTGACACACTAACAGTTTGGGTTTGGGTTTGGGTTCCATGAGAGAACCATTGGTGACTACTATGTTCGTATCTACCTGTCATGGATGATGTTGGGAATTAATATGGTGCTCCTGAATGATAATTGAATTATGCATGTGGTATATGTGTGTTTTCTATGTCGTGTTTACTTGTTATATATCTCGTTACTGAAGAAACGATGAATGGTCAGGCCCAATTGTGATGTGGTATGGTAAGTGGGGACTGAGGTTCAAAATGTTACTATGTATTACTTTAGAGAGGTTGTTTGTGTTTTTAAAAATTGAGAAGTGGAGAGGTGTTTGTGTCGTAAATGTTAGGTAGTTAGGTCTTACTTGGGAAGGTGAGTCGTATTGAAACGGTTAGCGAGCCTTGATAGTATGTACTATGGGATCAAGGGTTAAGGGTGATGTGGAAGAATTAAGGGTATGTCGTGAGTGGTTGGGCCAGGTTGATAGTGGTTACATCCGGAAACTCATGTAAAATGGTAGAATGGTTAAGTTATGATCAAGATCGGAGCAAATAAGGGGTTAGAGTCAAATGTACTAGTTTATTTAAAGCATTCAGAAATGGTAAGGGCAGGAGGATATAAAGGTGGAGGAATGAACGGTCTTATTGCATGTTTCCTACTAGCCGATTTCTTATATTATGCAGTGGGTATCGGGTTGACCGATAATGTCTACCAATACGTGTGGTTTGTATTGATACTACTCTTGATATGTCTTTTTGGCATAGTCTGGTTGCAGGGTCAGTGATGTTTCATAAGTGAAGATGAAGACAATATCCAACAGCTTCTATTTTTCTTTCCATGTGGTGGGAGCTGGGTCATTTGTTATCATGTTTATACCTTGTAATCGTAGAAACTCTTGTACCTGTTTAGACTAGATCCCTGGAGGAGTAAATTACTTTACAAGTTATCTTTGAATCGTTTGAAAACTCTTTATGTTGTAAAAACTGCATGAATATCCTTTTGTCTTCAGTTTCTTAATCTTTCGCATGTCTTTAACGGTTTGGGAATTGAGGGTCCTCCTACTTAGGTGGTTAGAGTAGGTGCCTGCACCGCCCGGTGAGTTGGATCGTGACAACTTTGTTCTCAAGTACTTATTTAACAACCCATTTTGATCCTTTCACTTTATTTATTCATAAAAAGATTTTGCACATCTTTTAAGAAATAATGAAATATTCCTTTTGTTTTAATTATTTTGTTTGATTCGAAGTACAATAATCAAACTAACTAATATTTGGTGTGCATTCGAACTATCATAAAAAATTTAAAATACGAGAATCAAATTAACTAATATAATTCACCATTTTCCCATCCGTCCTATCTTAGACAATCTTTGCATCCGTTAATTTTGGAAGTCCTAATGTCACAGACTTAGAGTTCTAACTAATGTTTCGTGCGGCCATGACAACTTACTCACGAATCTTTCACGATCTTGTAAGCTCAAGTAATCCGTTTGAAGCTAGATTGCTAAGACAATGTAAAGAAAGACTTAGAGAATTTTGGAAGAAAACTTTTGTATTGCTTGAAAAATGCTTTACAACTTGGTTGATGATTTACAAATGAGAGTCCCTTTATTTATACTACTTCCTAAGGGGCTAAAGTGTAAATAAAAATTACTATACAAGTCCCTACATATTTACACTATAGTCCTTATTCTAGAATTCTCTACAACTCTAGAATATTTCAAGGACTTTCCATGTGATTCCCTAACCTTCCTTGGGAAATATCCATATATACTTCTCTAGAATATTCCACTAAGGACTATTCTTCTTCCAATGTAAGCCTACCAAGGAAATATCTAGGGAGTTCTAGAGTCTTCCACAAAACTCTACACAACTCTAGTTTCTTCATCCTTTATATTCATGTTTTATTTTAATGGAAAAATAGCGGATCATGACACTAAGCACCGTAGAATTAATTGTCCCTTGAACAATGGCACCTTGTATTTATGCCGTACCATAAGTAAATAATACAAATATGGTGTACATATATAAGCCTAATTAATTGGCAAATACAGTTTCTTAACTATAGGCCTAAACCAAACATTGAATTATTCAATGCAGAATTTATATATATTCTATAGACGTACAAAACGACCTTTGTAATATTTCTTAATTTCAATATCGATTAATTTGACTATAATACATGCATGTATATTATTAAGTTGAATAGTCAAAAGTATTGAAGTTTGACTATATAATACATGGAAGAAAATAAAATTAGATGGTCAAAAGTATTGAAATAGTAACATACTTTATAATATGAGGTGCATTACCATGAAAACAAGCTCCAGATTAAATGAGAGAATGTATATATTATTAAGATATCATGGCTAATGACAGACCCGTAATATTTTTCTAGAAGTTATGTTGCCCTTTAATTCATATATAACTATATCTTTGCCCGCCGCTCTCCCTCCGAATCGGCCAACTGAATCACCATAGATAATTTGAAACGGAAGGAGTAATGTGAATTGAGGCTACTACACTAGTGCTTGATAACAATCTCAAAAAATAAAAGTTGAAGTCATGAAACTTTTTTATTTTAATATAGAGATAAGACAATGTTACATGTCGATCGTTACAAAATTTTCTCTGCGCATGATTATGAAAAGTTCTCCACCGCAGCCAACTTTTTTTGCAAGTTTCACTTTACGCGCACAAGAAACACGTGATTTAAATGCATAATAAAAAAGTGAGCAAAATTTCCAATCCTCTTTGTCATTTTCTTTCCACAAATATAAATACAGCCACTTATCTATCTCAAAAACAATCAAATCTCATTCTCTCTTCCCCTATAAATTAAACTCACTGCAACAGCACTATAGAGTTAACTCATAACCACCTAATTAACAACATGTTTCTTTCTCTCTTTCTTTTCTTCATTTTAGGGTTTCTTACCCATTCCCTAAAACTTCATCTCAAATTCACTCCAATCTATGGCCCTTCCTCTTACCCAATCCTTGGATGCCTTATTTCCTTTTATAAAAATCGACATCGACTACTGGATTGGTACACTCAACTTTTATCTGACTCCCCAACACAAACCATTCTAGTTCAGCGATTCGGCGCTCCTCGGACTATAATCACAGCCAATCCGGATAACGTTGAGTACATGCTCAAAACGAATTTTATTAATTATCCAAAGGGTAAACCGTTTACGGATATTCTAGGCGATTTTCTAGGGCGTGGGATATTCAACGTGGACGGGGAGCTGTGGAACGCGCAGCGTAAATTGGCTAGCCATGAGTTCAGCACAAATTCGTTGAGGGAGTTTGTTGTTAAAACTCTGGAAGAAGTAGTCGAAAACAGGCTCATTCCGTTGTTAATTCAGGCAGCTAAATCTGGCAAAGTTTTGGACCTGCAAGACGTGCTTAGGCGTTTTGCCTTTGATACAATTTGCAAGGTGTCCCTAGGTACTGACTCGCACTGCTTGGATGATCTCTCGCACGTGTCAGTTCTCGTTGATTCGTTCGATACCGCCTCTCGAGCGTGTGCCATGCGTGGTATGGCTCCAGTTTACGCGATTTGGAAAAGTAAAAGAGCGCTCAATTTAGGATCGGAGAAGCAGCTGAAGGAAAACGTGAAACGCGTTCACTGTTGTATCGACGAGATCATACAGGAAAAGAAAGAAAACTTCATTAATGAAAATGGAGGGGATCTTCTGTCTAGATTATTAATTGCTGGACACGAAGATGAAGTGGTGAGAGATATGGTTATAAGTTTCCTAATGGCTGGAAGAGACACCACTTCTTCCGCATTGACGTGGCTTTTTTGGCTCACTACCAATCACCCTAACATCAAAAACGAAATGATCAATGAAATAACGTCGATCAACAATGGCGATAAGGCGCTTGAATTTGACGAATTAAAAGAGATGAAGTATTTAACCGCGTGCTTGAATGAATCAATGAGGCTTTATCCACCAGTAGCTTGGGATTCTAAGCACGCGGCTAAAGACGACATATTACCAGACGGAACAAGGGTTCAAAAGGGCAATAGAGTTACTTATTTCCAGTATGGAATGGGTCGAATGGAGGAGATTTGGGGAAAAGACCGACTCGAATTTAAACCGGACCGTTGGATCGATGAAAACGGAGGATCGAAAAGTGTTTGTCCGTATAAGTATCCAGTATTTCAAGCCGGTCCAAGGATGTGTTTGGGGAAAGAAATGGCATTCACACAGATGAAGTATGTATTGGCTTCGGTTCTTAGGCGGTTCGAGATTAAACCGGTAAATGTTGAAATACCGGTTTTTCTGCCTCTTTTGACTGCACATATGGTTGGTGGATTCAATGTGAGAATCTATGAGCGAGTGGAATAAAAAATTGAGTATATATGACTGTATAGCGAGCTTCAAGATAACTTGTGTATAGTTTGTTTAAAGTAATAACGGAATGATCAAACTAATTTCTCTTTCATCTCTTTAAATCTATACGATTTACTTTTATTTTTTTAGTTAGTATATTTTAGTAATTACTTAACTTTAAAATATACATTTTATTTTTAGTGAAATGATGATTTATAGTTATATAAATATCAATCATTTATTTTAGACCACAAATTTATGAAGTATTACATTTTCTTTTAAATTTTTGTGTCAATTCAAACAAAGTCATAAAATTGAATAGAAGGAAGAGTAATAGGGTTAACTAAATTACGGAGTTTTGAAAAATGACAATTTAAGTACAAATTCTGGCCAATTTATTTCATGAGTAAGATAAGTAGGTCGATCAGAGAAAGTGAAAGGTGTTGGGTACTGTTTCATCACTTATAATGCAATGAGTTAAGAGGGTCTCTTTTCATATTCAATACCAAGTGACAGACAAAAACCACGAGCTCTACACTGATACACGTATCCCAACTCATTTTACGAGAGTCAATTTAATTTATTTTTTAATTAAAATTTTTGGAAATTATAAATTACAATCTTTTTTATATTAATATGTTGGAAAATATTTTTTAAAATATTGGTTGTTGTCCAAGCAATTTTACTCTTGAGATGTAGAAATGTGACAAAAAATGCATGTGAATGGATGGAATAATAAAAATATTGATGCATTGAACTTAAATACAAAAAAATCGTTTCCAACTTTGAATTAAGGACTTTAGGCAATAGATATTGAACTAATCTAATGTTTTAGATCCATTGAGGACTTGAGATTCTCAATCTTAGTGAGACATTATTTGGTCAACAAGGGTCACAAAATGAGCAAGTCCTCATTTCATACAAGTCTAATTTGATCATGGTATCTAATGCGAGCGAAACAGAACGATCTTTATCTCTATATTTCTAAATTTTGTATATCATCGTTTATAAATATTCCATCATAAATATATGAATTCACTATTTTCTCGATACATCGGAACATCAAGCAACGCAATCCAATCAACTAAGCTCGTGCTCCTTGTCAAAAAATTCTTTACATTGTATCCTCCCGATTTTGTATGTATATATGATTGGAAGACTTTTAGAAGTAGTTTATAAATCACATTATTTTGCTTCCTTCCCTATATGATCACATGATTAAAACATGAGTTTTGTAATCTTAAAGAAGTATTTAAAATACTCTTAAATTCAACGCAAATTATTTGTTTTATTCTTAAATTATTGACAGCCTTAAAAATACTTATTTATTTGGCTAACTAAACCTAAATATACCCCCGATTTTACAACATGAGTGAAATATACCACCCATAAATTATCGTCAAGTTTAGGATGTTTTCAACAATTCTCTCTATTTAAGAGACACATGTTCCTAATACAAATCGAGGGTATACCAAATTTAGTTAGTCGAGTAGCTAGAGGATATTTTCAAAGCTGTCAATAATTAGAAAACGAAACTAATAATTTGTAGTGTTTTCCATTCTCTCTGGTCTAAATATATATATATATATATATATATATATATATATACACTCATGAATCTCATCATTTCGTGCTTCAATTAATAGTTAGTTGAAATTGATGAAGTCCACTGCCATACGAATTTTTTTCTTAATTTTCACTTTCACTTTGAGTTAGGCAAAAATATCTCACAAACGTCACCTCTGAAGTGTCATGATGCTTGAGAAAATATTAATTAAAGAGCTATTTAAAGGACCACCTATTAATTAAATAAAGAATTCGTAGAAAAGCTTATCATAAAATTGAGTCACCGATTTTATGATGAAAGCAACATAGGTAAGCCAAATCATGTGAATTTGGACGGTGGACACAACTAATTGAATCAAAATTCCAAAGCTCATCATGTCGACCCAATTTTCTTTTCACTCATATCCAATTTGCTCATGTTTTTCGTTATATGTAATTTTCCCCAACTTTTTCGAAGATATTTATTAAATTAATCGGACTTCAAAACGAGTATTAAATATCGAATATGATCTTTAGAAAAGAGAACAGCTAGCGCTGAATTATCTTGATACCGACTTAAACCGGAAAATTATTGTCTCTTCTGATGGAACACATTATATATATCTATCACATGTCTAATTATTTATCACTACAATAGTACTGTTGGACCAGCTATTAATTTGAAACCATTGGTTCATCTCTGGCACTATTAGATTAACAAAAATAAAAATGAAAGATTCTTTCTTAGAAGGAAAAACTAGTATTTACTAATGTTATTATAGTTTGAAATAATTATATTTTATCTCGTTAATTAATATTTTCATATCAGATTTCATGTTCGATACATTTTAGATACAAGTTTTTTACTATCAAATACAATGAAATAGGGGAGAGCGGCAAGTGAGAACTGCCGGGAGGCGAGAAAGATTTATCTATGTATCTCATATACATGTGAATTATATTATCTAGTGTGATTCACGTGTATTTGGGATACCAGATACACGAGCGAGATTTATCTATGTATCTTAGACACATGCGAATCCACTTGGATACAATATATCTAGAACAAATTACACCTAATTTTGACGCACCAAAATCTGATAAGATTGATATATTGCAAACTAGCATGTATTTAAGTAATTATCTCATAAAGTAGTGGGATTTCGATTAATTTAGTTTTATATATATATATATCAATTATAAAATTGAGCAACTTTACATATATAGCAAACAAAAAAATCATATTTGTATGTTATAGCAAAGTTTGCATAATTGCGCTCCATAGCAAACATATATATGTATAATTCTCTATACATATACAATTGAAAGCTATGTCTATTTCGCTATACATATATACAAAAAGAAGCAATTGTATAATTCGTTGGCTCCTCTTCAGATTTGTATAATTTTGCAGGCAGGCCATTTGTATAAATTGTTGTTAGCCTCTCGTTTGTATAAATCGTTGACAAAAATATTTGCAAAGCAAAAATCGCTCTCTCTTTCGCTTTATACAAACATAAATTATACATTATATTTGTATAATCTGTGTTTGTATAAAACAAGAAAGAGAGAAAGGCAAAAGAGAACTGGGCAGTGGAATATTTGTATTGTATAATTATAAGTGTATAAGATGAATATATATGTATTTGCATGTGTATATACAATTTTCTTTCGCTTTATACAAACATAAATTATACATTATACAAACATAAATTTTACATTATATTGTATAATCTGTGTTTGTATAAAACGAGAAAGAGAGAAAGGCAAAAGAGAACTGGGCAGGAGAATATTTTTATTGTATAATTATAAGTGTATAGAACGAATATATATGTATTTGCATGTGTATATACAATTTTCTCTCGCTTTATACAAACAGAAACACAATTTATACAATTCTGTTGTATAAAGCGAGAGAGGCGAGCACAGAGGGAGCGAGCGAGAAAGGGAGAGTGGCGACTGACAAACGTTTGCTACGGGGCGTAATTAAATCAAACAATAGGTACTCCATTTATTTTAGATTATAAGTTTGTCATTCTGTACAATTATCCCTATAAAATTTTCACCTTTTTAAAAGCATGAAGTTTTAGGTGGACATTGGGCTTAAATCCAAAAGCCCATTGGATATTACTGGAGCAATTTCCAACGGGAGCTAATGCTGGCCCGTTTCGACAAGAAGTTGAATTTCTTAATGAATTATCCGATATTTCTTATGAATAATTACAATTTTAAATACTTCAATCAACTAATTTATAAATATATACAAAATACAAATTATATATATACACGCTGATATATATTGTATTCGTTCATTTTGATAAATTAATTGACCGACTGGATATGTTAGTAAGTTTTCCTTCTTTTTTATTACAAAAATAGTCTTATATTATTCAGCTTTCATCTTTGTCTGAATATTTTAGAATTTCAATATGCAAAATGGTATGATTAGTAGAAGTAATAGACCAATGGTTAATCGATTAATAGACATAATTTAATTTTAAAAGTAATAACATGTGCATCTAGAGGTGGGGTTAACATATGTTGGAATACATTTTAATATTAAGATACTACACTAATATTTAGTCATGGCTATTAAAGGGGAAGAAGTAATTAAACTCGTGCTAATTAAACTATTACTCTAATCCATTAATTTTTTTATTGTGAAATAAAATAATTTGAAGTTAATAAAATTTTAAATTAAATATAAAATTAAAATATTTTAAAATTATTATTCTTATCTCACGTATCAATTTTAAGACAAATACTCTGTATATTTTGCTGAACTGCTCATCAGAAATATCTTCAGTGTCTAGAATTTATATTTTAGACGACGGTATTGACTGTTGAGTGAAGAGCTTTTGTTGTGGAAGCATATTATTGCACACACATTTGTTGTGGAAGCATATTATTGCACACACAATTTAGTTGGTTAAGATGTCATAATTAAGGGTGTTTTCGATAGCAAGGAAGATACTTTTTATTTTTTTCTACGTTTGATTGATATAAAAATATCATCTATAAAAAAAGTATCTTAAAAATAAGAAAGTTAATACTAATTGTTAGCAAAAAAAATAAAAAATTCTACAACTAATATATTATATTGATTGTATTTTTTTTTCTATTCTCCAACACAACTCATCTACGCAACATATTTTCAATATTCTGTAGGCCCATCCTCACACTCCACACCACTAATCCCCACCACCCACACCCACCTTTAGCTCTTCCTTACCCATCGGCCATTACCACTCTTTTACCTTCAATAATATTTATCTAAATTGTATTTACCGCTAATATTTTTAAAATATAATGTTTTTCACATGTACTAAATATTGAAAAAGAAGTAATTTCTTTTTCTTTTATAGATGTCCTTTGTACTAAAGACACCCTAAATCTTCGAAATAATGAGTTTAAAATTTGTTAGTTTGTGCTCAATTATTATTTTTAGTTGTTCCCTATCCTCTATTAAGTATATTAACTATGAAAAAAACTGATAAAATGCCAAATCAAAATAATTGTTTTAGTGACTAAGCATAGTTTTGTAGGGTCTAAAGAATGAAGATATATAAATATGGAGCAGCCAACCCCATTGATAGGTACACTT